TTTTTTTTACTATTTACTATTTACTATTCACTTTTTACTATTCACTATTCAATTTTTACTATTCGATTTTCTTAAAAAAAATACTAAATAAGTTATCAAAAATTTTAACTTCTCCTTATAAAATTACTATAATTTTATATCCAAAATTTATATTTTTCTATCCACTAAAATTATTATTACTAATAAAATGCTAAAATTTACTACTATATATATATATATATATATATATATATATATATATTTTTATTTTTATGGGTCTTACAATAATTGAGAGACGATTCTACTTATCCCAAATATTATATTAAATATAAATTTATAATTTTATAATGTTATAATATGATTTTATACTTCTATAATTTTATACTTTTATAATATTTTAATTTTGTAATGTCGTAGTTTTATAATTTTATAAATTTATTATAAAATTTTATAATTGATAATTTTATAATTTTGTAATTTTGTAATTATTTATTAATTTATCTTAATTTTATAACTTTATAATTCTTTGTCAATTTATTAAAAAAAAAGTTGTTTCAAATAAAAATTCTTTTGAAGCAATATTCAAAAGAAAACATATTATCATAGACTTAATTATCCGGATATATGTTTTCACATATATATTCAATGTAGGTGTGCACTCGTAGTAATATTTATACTTTATAGAGTCTTAGATACAAGGATTAACACCCTACTACTCACTATGTTAGTTTCTTCATGCCTAAAACGAAAAGAAAAAAATTTCTTGTCATTCTCTCTTTCATCTCATTCATCTCTATATGAGGTTAATAACTAGTTGAATATCACGATACCCACTTTTAGAACTTCATATATCAAAGCATACACCAAACAAAACCACAACCAATTTTTTCTTGGATCAGTTCCAACCATTCTTGAATACATATTACAAACTAGTCATCACGTTAACCTTCAGAACACAAGCTTTAAGCATCATAACCAGAAAAACACATACGATAATTAGTGTTAGACTTTGTTAGTCTCGCTCAACAAGTAGTACTTAAAAGTATACTCGTCTAGAGATTAGATAGCTCGTTCAACAAGATCATCTCTAAATCTCAAAGGCTTAAATATCACGAAAGTCGCCCAACGAGACATTTTTCGCCCAACCACTATCAAGTCAACGAGAATATTCTTTGTCAACGACCACTAAGTCAATAACTCTCTAACTTTTGAGCTTGCTCACAGACCATATTATCATCCAATAAAGGTTAAGTCAGTGAATCCTTTAACTTTGATTTCACTCAACGAGAATATATCGTCCAACGATAACTAAGTTAGTAGTTCCCCGACTCTAGCCTTGCCCCATGAATTAAACATAGCAAGAATTCAATCACCTCATCACTAAAGATGATTCAACTTCCTAATCTTAACTCAATAGACCAAATTTCATCAAATAATTCAATTTCACAATTCAACTACCATACAAGGCTACAATAAGTAATTAAAACTTGTCTATCAATTAAAATCAAAGTAACTAGATTCTCTTATCTTATAAAAGACCAGTAAGCGCTAAGATCTTAAGACAACTTCACATGCACAAAAAACCTTATATGCTCCTACAAACAATAGAACAATTAGAACCACCTATAAGTAAAGAGTCTTATAAAAGACTCAAAAGTCACATACAAGCTCAAACAACTCACATGCATGAAAAAATGTACAAACTAAGAAAAATATCAAAAATCAACTCTCCTTTGCAAAAACTAATTGGTTGAAGTAGAAGAGCTCGCTTCAAAGATCATTCAGGGAATCTCTAATCTTCAGACAAATGAATAGGGAGTCAAAATTCTAAGAGAGAGGGTAAATAACTATTAGAGAAAGAATTTTTATATAGATGGTGTGTTTTTAAGTAACAAAACTTGTTAATAGAAATTCTATTTATACTGTGAACTTTTAAAATTAAAATAATTGAGTCTCATTATTTAAAACACATTATTACCTCAAAGATACTATTTTCTAGGCTCTTATATTCTCCCAACAATAAAAATTTTGACCTCTAAAATTGAACTCACTAGGAAACAAATGTGGGTATGACTTCCTCATATTCTCCTCTAACTTCCAGATAGAGTCACCTATTTTCCTTTGTAGTCTACCTTGAGGATAATAAGCAAAACCCATCCTGAGCTCGCTACTCAAAGATTGTTGTAGTGTCTACCAAAATCTAGAAATAAACCTAAGATCACTATTTGACACAATACTTGAGGCATTCCATGCAACCTTACTATCTCCTTGATATACAACTATGTCAACTTGACCATAGACATCTCATATTAACGAGGAGAAAATGAGCATTCTTCATTGATTGATCTATTATCACCCAAATTGCATCATCACCACTCACAATCTTGACAAATAGGCAACAAAATCTTTAATTATGTTATACAATTTCCAGTTTGGTATCTTTGTCTGCTGTAACGTCTCATCAAACCTATGATGTTTTACCTTTGCTCTTTGTAAGTCAAGCAAAAAGACTACAAATTGAGTTACGTCTCTTTTTAATTTTCTTATTTACAAAATTTAAAAGTGGGTTGATGTTTTACTTTTACTCTTTAACAAGTCAAGCAAAAGACTACAAACTGAACTACATCTTGTTTTTCTTAATTTTCTTATCACAAAATTTAAAAGTTATTTCTTTTTCTTTAAATTCCACAATCCAAAACCAAATGAATAATTAGGATGCGACAAGAAATATATGGAGATGCAGGAGGAGTGTCTATTTTTCAATTTTAAGGTAATATTAAATTTCAACTAAACCAAATTAACTAAATATTTTGTTTAGTTTTAATTTAGTAAAAAAAATTCAACCAATTTAAATAAATATTTTCAGTTTATTATAAATTGGTTAAATTTATTTAGTTAAAATTGTTAAATAAAAGATATATTCTAACTTTTTTATATGATTATTATCATATTTATAATTTTAGTTTTGTTTTATAATCTACACAATTTCAATGCTAAAAATCATAACATAAATTTACTTATTATTATATTATAAACATGCTGTAAATACAGTATAATCAAATCTTTGAAAAAATTTCCATAGTAACTTAATAAACTTTAAACATATAATTTATATTTCAATATAATTTATTTGAATGTTAGTTTTATAGCTTTAACATAGATGATCTCCTAATGTTTGGAATATTGTAAAAAAATGGTTTACTTTTCCCTCAGTGCAAGAATGGATTTGGAAGTCATTGCTAGTTAGTGAATAGTTGCTACAATGCACCATCAATTTATTTTCCTGATATGACTGAGTTTATTCTGCTGATATAAATTCAACACCACTCCAAACTGATACACAAAGTGTAGGAAGGACCACTCGATAAATGTTTCCACAATCTTTTATTTTATTCAACCGTAGGATCGTCCGATCATTTATTTTTTCAATCTTACTTACAAACAAAGATTTTAGGAGGAATTCTTGTTGCAGCTGGCCCAATATTCAGCTACCAGCTTAGAAAATGAAGAATTGGTGTCCATTAGTCTCGAAGGCTCATCATATTCCACCATTTTCCCTAAGAAACCATACAAAAAATATCAGACAACTAACTGAGTAAGCAGTGTATCGAAAAAGGAGGAAAAGAGAATGAAAGAAGATACCATAGGAGAGGACCATAACCATATCACTGTCTATAACAGTGGGAACCCTGTGAGCCACTGTAATAACTGTGCATGCTTCAAACTCTTGTCTGATAATTCTTTGTAGAATTGCATCTGTGGCAGAGTCAATGGAGGCAGTGGCTTCATCCAGAACAAGAATTCTGTTCCTCTTTAGCAGTACTCTTCCAAGACAAAACAGTTGCCGTTGTCCCAAGCTCCAATTTCCACCTTCATCACTCACTGTATAATCATTCTCAATCAGCCTTCAAATGGCTAATTTGTTCCAAAATCTTAATCTATGAATCGAAGACTTTTATTTTGGAAAAACAACTTGCAAGTTCAAATATTATGTGTATCCCTCATGATTTTAAACCTGGAAAGAGTAAAGCTGCAATAGATTTTTTCCAAAGGCTGCTGAGAGAATTGGCCAGAAAATTCCCATACCAGATCTGTGGCTCTAAGCAGGTTAAGCTTACTCACCCTGAGAGTCTAAGAGATTTGGAAGATGGCTGATAGTTTCCTTAAGCTGACATTTCTCTAAAGCCTATGTACAAATTAAACATAATCAAACAAATGATAAGTAAAAGCTCAAGCAAAACATAAAGATGTTAAAAAAACAATTTTTAACAGCAGAACTAGTCCATTTACCTTCCATATCTCATCATCTGAATACAGGCCTAAAGGGTCCAAGTTGGTTCTGATGCTGCCCTTGAAAAGAGTTGGTTCCTGAGGGATGATGCTTAGTTTCATTCTCAAATCCTTCAACCCCATTGAGCATATGTTAATCCCATCTATGAGAATGTCACCGCTTGCTGGCTCAACTAAGCGAAACAAAGCACTTATGAGTGTACTCTTTCCACTTCC